TCATTTGCTCCTGCAACAAGTACAATCCAATCCTCCTTCGTGTAATCTTTAGTTATCGGCGTGTTTTCTACAGCCGCAATAACTGTTTGAAGAGGTCCTCCAGGAATTATGTGACCATGCACCAGAGTATCAGGATAAACTTTCTTTTTTAACAAGTTTGCGAAGTCTCTTCCATGGCTGTCACAGAAAAAAGTCAATTTACGTTGCTGATTCTTCTTTCCCTCAATCCGAAGCTTTCCATCTTTGGTCTTGTTATTTCTTTGTGATTTAGAAATGACCTTATTTTTTTGCAAATATGACCGTTTTAGTTCTTGCTGGACATTAATTTCCACAGTTTCAAGTGGTGCAAAACTGTTCTTAACAGTGACCGATTTAGGAACAACTTTAGATCCAGGTTTTGTGAGCTTTTTTGGGGTTTGAAATTGGTTTTCCTGTGTGAGTTGAGTATCATTACTCAGTTTTGCGTTTCTTGTATTTGAGCTTTCTATTTCATTTTGAAGTACTTTTATTATCTCTCTGTAAGACTGTAATTCCTCGGTGAATGTACGTTCAATTGTCTCAACATGATTGTTTAATCTTCTGATTTCCATTGTGAGATTCTGATCTGGTGAGGGACATGGTTGAATGGCTTCCATTAGATGTAGATTTTCTTTTTGAAGTACCCGTAATTTATTTTCTAATAATTTAACTTGTGTGTTCTCTGCATTTTTGTATTCTTGTTGTGTTGGTTTGCTATTTTCTTGTTGTGTTGGTTTGCTATATTCTTGATTAGAGATTTTTATTTTATTTTTTAATGAGGTGTTCTGGGATGACAGATCTTTAATTTGTCTCATGTAGCTGTCGCTTTCGACCTCTGCTTGCTTAATGATGTCTTCTTTTAGTTTTCGTTCAGTTTCAAGTTTATTCTGAAGGAATGTTACTTCAGAGTGTAGTTTTTTATTTCTTTCTTTTAGGTCCTTCATAGCCTCCTCAGCCAGATTAAGTTTGTCTTCGAATTCTAGTTCGTTGTGGGATTTCCCTTGTTTAATTTCGTAAATCTGCTGTTTCAGTTGATTATTTTCTGCCAACAAAGCATTGCCTAATTCAGCAGCCAGAGTCAATGATTCATTTGGATCAAAATTCTCCTCTGATGACAGGTCATGGATCTTTGATTTTAAACTTTCAATTTGATTAACATTTTGATCTGATTTGCAGCTGTCACAGGACCAGGTTTTAATATAATTCTCACGTCTTGTCAGCTGTGACGTCAGTTACAGAGTCAGCAGTGTTGACGTCTACCAGCTGTGTCGTCAAATTGTGTCGTCAGCAGTGTTATTGCCTCAGTCTGCGTCACCTAGTTTGGCTGTGACGTATAGTGATGAGTTGGAATTATGTTGAGGCCAAGTATTCCCTGACTGGCAGTTTATTGAGTTTACAATTATGAGATCCGCCATCTTGGTTTTCTTCAAATTCCATATCTTCCAACTCCATGTCTTCTATTCCACATCTTCCAACTCCATGTCTTCTATTACACATCTTCCAGCTCCATGTCCTCAAATTCCATACCTTCCACCTCCATGTCTTCAAATTCCATATCTCCCACCTCCATGTCTTCAAATTCCATATCATCCACCTCCATGTCTTCAAATTCCATATCGTCCAACTCCATGACTTCAAATTCCATATCTTCCAACTCCATGTATTCAAGATCCATACTTCCAATTACTTGTCTTACAGGTTGATCAAGTTAACAAAATGTAAGGTCACGTTAGTTTACACCAGGTACCTATATATAGTCAATTCTTTTAACAAAGTGTGCAGTTGAAATAACGGTTTGCAAAGTTTAAATGAATTTATTATTTTTAATATCCATGGCAACATAAATCAATAATGGTTTAAATAAGAATCACAAAGGCAAATAAAAGCTATAAAAAATGTTATAAAAGATTTGTTGACCTTTAATACTCTGTGTTAAAAATTCTTTTTCTAGACTAGCTGTGTTCCCGTTCTACGCACGGATAGTGTAGTCAGTTGAAGTCACTGGTTAACTACCTCAACCTAACAATTTAACACTTTATTCTGGTTGACATTTTCATTAACAAAGGTGCTCTTGTCTTTTTCGTGAAACACTGAGAAATAAAGACATTAATGCGTCAACAACAGATACACACAAAAATACAGAAATTAATTAAGTTGGGAATCTTCTACGGTTTAACCATAGCAAAGTACATATAAAATTAGTAAGCGCCGTCAATGAGTGGAAACCTAATTTTTGCAAGCTATTGGCGACAATGATTTAAAAAAAGTACCGTAAGTTTCCCAGCCGTAAACAACACTGATTCGTGGTCTTTTTCCCGGTTATCAAAACTCAAGAACAATTTGATGCACAAAGAATCTCCGGTTCCTGACGTGGATGACGCCTAGTTATTTAATTTAATTTACCGTTACACAATATTGCACTTGCGATTAATTAAATCCGTTATCTAAGTAAAAACTTGTTTAATCTCACTTGGTTTGAATTTTCTTTCAAATCGTGATCCGAAATGGTTACGGTATTTGTAAACAACATAATGTAAACATATCAGTGACGGCTAGAAAAAATAATCTTGATCCAAACTAACAGCTTTTTGTTATTTCATAGATGACGTATGTGATAAACATTAGGAAAAATCTTAGGAAACTGGGGGAAAACGCACAAAATTGGGTTTTTGAACGTCCGTCATTTTATTTACAAAGTAGTGAGGCCATATTTTAATGGCTAAAGACACTCTCGCCAATCATATACATGAAAATTATTTCAATCTTGATAGGTACTCTCGTTTTCCTGGAGAAGATAGCGTAAATGCCATCTTGAGTGTTGCAGACAGACAGAAATAGAGATAAGACTAGTTTCTGCTTCTTTAATGTATAAAACGTAAAAATAACCAAAAAATATTTAATTCTGAGCAATGTACAGACAAAATTCTAATTTTATTTATATAGCATTATATAATCTTTTTCTAACACCTGCCCCACCAAATTACCAAATATTAGAGTAGAAGAGAATTTTGAAATTGGCGCACTCTTTGAGTGACTATTCCAACTATTGTCATTGACCATAACAAAGGACCATAAGGCTGGGAATACACTATCATAGTTCTATGACATTTATCTATTACCAATTGTCTTTGATGAAAAATTATAGTGTAATGGACCAACTACTATTCAGTATGATATTGTGTCTATGATAATCCTAAAACGATCGTTGTTGACGTAATCAACATGTGGAGCCCAGCTAAGTTTGTAGTCAATTATGACCCCAAGGTATTTGTAATTTTCGACTTGCTCAATGATTTCACAATGGCACGGCGCTGCCCATGGACCCCCGCAGCCGTGCAACCTGAGTACTCTATGGCCCGGACCACTGTCGCATCTAAAGTAAATGGGCAGACATTTGGTCTTGGACACATTTAAGGATAGTATGTTGTGGTCAAACCATAGTTTGAGCTTGCCCAAGTCGGAGGACACCCTGTCATCCAAGTCCTTAAGTCATCCAAAGTCTCTTAAGAAGAGTTCCATTCTTTTGCCCAAGCATTAATACTAAAAATCCTAATCATCATGTTAATATACTTAATGAATCAAATTTAATCAAATATAGCCTGCTTTCTCAGAGTTCTATTCAAAGTTTTCTTATTTCAATTTATAAAATATTTAGATTTTACAGTAACAAAGGCTTATTTTAAAGAGTAAGGGTCCCCTAACACCCAGGTTAAGGGTTAAGGGTTTCCTAACACCCAGAACCCAGAAAATTCCAATATAAGCAAAACTTTAAGCAAGGCTGCAAATCGCATGAAAGCATCGGAGCAAGTAGGGTAAGCAAGGTTGCCAAATGTAAGCTTCTTCCGTCTGTAAACAGTGATTCCCTACTAATTCGGCAATCAAAAAAAGTAAAATTATCTGTATCCATGAATTGATTGTTGTATCCTTTATAGGAAAAGCAGTTCAACGATTAAATCACTATCGTCAGTCCTTATACAGGGTGATTGAAAAGTCTGGGTACGGCTTAATATTTTAAAATATAATGCAGATTGAGCTACAATACTTGGTACAAAGTTACAGGGCATAAAACTCTATTTTAACACATATTCAGTGATCCAATAACTCTTCAGGGGGACGGCCCACAAGGAGTCGGAAGAAAATCTTAAATGAAAGCATAGGTCAATATGCACATCAAATTAAAGGTCTTTTTTAGTAGAATACAATGCCGCAAACCGCACTTCAAAAGGTTGATCCTGCGCAAAATGACAGTTGTTCAAAGATTCATTTAATTTACATTGCTATTATACGCTTACTCCTCAGGGGCACAGCCCTAGGAATCGGAAGAAAATTGTTAACGTAAGCATAGGTCGATATGCACATCAAATTAAAGGTCTTCACTAGTAGATTACGATACCGTAAATTCAAGCTCAAAAGAATGCCTGAGTAAAAAATGACAGTCGTTCAAAGATTCAAAATGGCGGATTCAAGAAATCTTTGAACATCTGCCATTTTGCGCAAGATCAACCTTTTGATATACGGTTTGCGGCATTGTATTCTACTAAAAAAGACCTTTAATTTGATGTGCATATTGACCTATGCTTCCATTTAAGATTTTCTTCCAACTCCTTGTGGGCCGTCCCCCTGAAGAGTTATTGGATCACTGAATATGTGTTAAAATAGAGTTTTATGCCCTGTAACTTTGTACCAAGTATTGTAGTTCAATCTGTATTATATTTTAAAATATTAAGCCGTACCCAGACTTTTCAATCACCCTGTATAAGATCTTGGTCTTCCCCATACATGTGTGTTTTGAAGTTTAAAACACATAGGCCTACATACACAAACATTACACATAAAAATGAATTAATTAAAAAAATTAATAGCGAGAAAAAAGAAAAAATGTTGATAAAATAAAAACCATCTGTAAACACAGAACAACAACAACAAAAAATGCTGTAGTTTGGGCTGCGTTTTCAAAATTACCTTGTATTAGAAAGTTTAAGTTCAAGGGGTCGTTGAATTTAATTACAGGCTCTAAAGTACGAGGAAGAGTATCCCAGTGCATTGATGGAGTTCACACGTGCATATGAGTTGAACCCTTCTTGGGAGACTCCAAGCAAGAACCTGCGTCAGATGCTGCAGTATCTAGACTCCATCATGGACCTGCTGCAAGCCAAGGGACGTCTGAAGGCCAAGAAACTGCAGTCTTTGCTGCAAGTGAGTATACTATGGAAACTGTACATTCCATCTCTAAGTGAGAATAAAAAAGTATTTTAATTGTACCACCGACAGAGTGTGGTAAAGTAAATTTACTGATTTCTGTCAAATATGCAAATTTCTCTAAAAAAAGACAAAATTTTTTGTAAAATGTAGCATCTTTTATATTCTGACACACAAACTATAGTCTGTCCACAAAATTTAGGCGGTTCAAGTTTCGAGGGAGTTCTTCCCCTAAAACAACTAAAATTTTGTGACTGGAATATATATAGTTTTAGAATGTAGGGAACTCTTTGAGTGGTTCCAACAAGCCTAACCCTACCATTCTCAGACGACCTGTCGCTAAACTGTTCACGGCAGAAAATAGATAGTTTTTTTGCCGCACGATATATTTACCATTGCGAGTCGAAAGGTATGTTAAAATCAATAAAAACATACTTAGCTTGGATTAAATAAATATATAGGATGGAGAAGACACAGCTAACTCACCTGATGAAAGGTTGCAGTCAAAGAACACATAAAATCACACACATAATAGTGATTTTATGTGTTCTTTGACTCGTCTGCAACCTTTCATCAGGTGAGTTAGCTGTGTCCTCTCCATCCTATATATTTATTTAATCCAAGCTAAATGCTTTTTCCTGAAAACATAACCCTAAAAACATACTTAGAGATGATCAATATTTTTCAGTTCGAGGATAAAAAAAATTTTGATGGATTTACAACTTATGAAAGTTATCTCTAAGAACCATAACTTACTGTCATTATCCGTCTATATTGTAGATTGTGCGGTTAACAGTTTGACACGTCCTCTCTAACCAATTGTCCCGTTGCAGAGCATAGAAGACAAGCAGTTGGGTCCATATGAAGGAGGCCAATATACCTCAGGTGGCCAGACAGTCAAGCTAACTCTGCAGCCTTTGTCCAGCCTCAAGGCCGGTCTAAACTGTGAGGTCGTTATTCTGGGAAAAGTCATATGCAGCGTGAGGAATGAGGACATTGTGCCTTTGTGAGTTGTTAAATATCGGATTATCATTTATCATATCACTATCACCTTAGCCTTTCGTTAATTCACACAAGAAACCCCCCTAACACCCGCTATGAGAAAGTCTTAAAAACCTACTTTAATCAAAATAAGGGTAAAATAATTTACAAAAAATTATCCTTTTTGATTTAGGTATCGATGATATAATACTTTTGCATACATTACAAAACCATACTTTACGTAACCAATCTTTTATTTACGTATGGAGCTATATCTTTGGCTACTTTGTATGAAAAGTTTTTGAGTAATCATTGACTATTGATACAACTAGACATTCCATCCCTATGTTAAAGTTGTCGCAAATTTGTTAATCAAAATTGTAGTTGATGTGAGCCACCGACAGATTGTGCTGATCTAAATTACTCATTTCTGTTGAACACAAGAACTTTTTTACCAAGCCAAACTAAAATGGAATGACCTATAAGTCCATATACTTACTTACTTACTTACTGCTGTGGCCACTGGTACCCTAGATGGTACTTGGCCTCCCCAACACACTGCCTCCTTAGGTCTCTGCTTCTTGCATCTTCCTTCCTTCTCCCTAGCTTCCTCAGGTCTTTCTCCACTTGGTCGAACCATCTAAGTTTCGGTCTTCCAAGGGGTCTTCTACCTTCTGGGTTATTCCTCAAGATGTTCTTTGATAGGGAGTTGTCATCTTTTCTTAGAATATGCCCTGCCCATCTCAGTCTTCTGCTCCGTACCTCAGCGACAATATCTGGATCCTTAAATAATTTTCTTAGTTCCCAATTATGTCTTGATCTCCATTGTCCATCCTCAAAAATCGGTCCGTACACTTTCCTCAAAATCTTGTTCTCAAATACAATAGCTTTCCTTTCTGATGTCTTGCTTAAGATCCAATTTTCTGAACCATACAGGAGAACTGGTCTGATGATTGTCTTATAAATCCTGAGTTTGGTGGTGTGGGATATTATTTTTGAAGTTAGTAACTTGTGATAGGCCGAAAAACTTTTTTGTGCTAGGTTTAATCTATTTTGTATTTTTAGCTCTTCATCATAAGTCCATATAGAGACACATAAAATAAACACCACAAAAGTAGAATTTTTTTTCAACCACTGGAGAAATGCTCCACCTTTTATTTTATGTGTCTCTATAGACTTATTTAAAGATAAGCCCGCTTTCTTGTCAATTTCCTTAATAATTCCTGACAAATGCCCTATCTTTTTATCAGATAACCTTAAATGGAATTACTTATTATGCATTAGTTTTGTTTGACCTATCCACTTGGTCAGCAACATAAAACCGTAACCAAAGTTGGCAACTCTGGCTGCTCCATGTAAATGGAAAGTCTACTTTCAGTATCCATTTGTCAATGATTCAACATACTTCCATAGTAGATTTGTCATCCTTATAGATCAGCTTATGACAATTTTAATGTTTGTTTTTTGTTGTTTAAGGGTACTGTTTTTGTTTCCAATTTGTTTCTTGCTTTTTCAGTTATGTAAATACTAGCTGTAACCCGCGGACTTTGCCCCGTTTAACTTCTTAATTTTCAAGATTATCTCGTTCGCATGGCTCAATCACGTCCTGGTTGAAGTTTGTTCGCTACGCTCACTCACCTTTAGGTTGGAGCTGGTTCGCTGCGCTCACTTGCCTTCAGGTTAGCTCGTTCGCTACGCTAACTCGCCTCCAGGTTGAAGTTCGTTCGCTACGCTCACTCACCTTTTGGTTGCAAATTAGCTGTTGTCATAAATGTAAAAGAAATAATAGTGCTGCACCCTGTTGGTAATCCTTGTAACTTTCATGCTATTGAACATCATAGAACAGAACCAACTTGTTTAATTGAAACAGCTGTTAAGATTCAATAATTCCAATTCTCATAAGGTTAACATGGGAAACTCCAGAGCCACTGGGGCGGAGCCCGAAAGGATTTTTGAAATAAGAATATGCCTATATGTTAATCGGGAATGTGAGCTATCATCATGCCAAATTTCAGCCCAATCCGACCAGTATTTTTCGCGTTCACTTGTCACAAACATACATCCATACATCCATCCATCCAAACTTTCTCATTTATAATATTAGTAGGATTAGTTTAACAAAATGAAACAATCTAATTATAAGCACTAGCTTATCCTTTTGTTTTATAACCGAAAAGTTAAGTACAAATTATGAACTCATCATAAAATATGATCAACAAAATTTTGTCAACCCTAGCGTCCAAAGTCACCAACGTGAACTAGACTTTATTTTGACGAGAGCTGCAATCTGGAATTCATGTTTAGAATTGCTACGCTTGGACTTTAAGCTGACCAGTATTGTTGTGGTAGAACATCAAGTCAGACCAATGGCTGAGTGGTTTAACGTGCTGTTTCTCCGTCCGAGAAACTGTAGATTGAAGCTTCAATACAGAAAGAGTAATTCTTACATTACCAACACAACCTCTATATTTAAATAGTACCTTTAAATGTGCATTGGGAACATTACAATATATTTCTGTTTTGTAGGCTATTCTTCTTTTTTACCACCGTCCACAGTTTATTCTTTCTGCTTCTTGCCACTTTACCGTATTTCACCTAATCTTGCACAAATCTTACCTACGAATTATTTCTCCAAATTTAGTTTTATCCTCCAAGAGCGATTTTTGTTGCACTTCTATCCTTATTTGATAGGAACAGTATTGTACAATGAAGTGTATGGTTTCAGCACGTTCTGCCTGATAGACAAGCAGAAGAATGTGTGCGCAGTGACTGTTTACAACATAGCGGAAGGTCAGGGCGTTATCATCGGTGACTCAGTGGCCATCCCTGAACCTTACGTTACCAACGTGTGCTTCTCCTACGGCAGCAGAGTAAGTCAATCAGATATCAGGATACAGTCTTGATGGTCGTAATGTAAACAAATCTGTAGAGGCAACTTTAAAGGCTTCTGGGGCAGAGCCCCAAGGGAATTTACCTCGTTCCTCTTTTGATGGCTCATCTACAGACCAAGACCTTTAGATACCCCTACCAAGTTTCTACGCCCAGCCGTTCTCTCAAATTAGCTATGACAAAAACCCTGTTTTCCTCCATAAGAATAACATGGGATAGGAATTTAAAGGCCACTGGGGCAGAGCCCCGAGGGAATTCACCATGTTTCTCTTTTGATGGCTCATCTACAGACCAAGACCTTTCTTTAGACACCTCTACCGAGTTTCTACACCCAGCCGTTCTCTCAAAATAGCTATGACAAAGAAAAACAGTTTCAAATTAATATATAGATTGAGATTTGCCTGTATAATTAGCATGGTTCGTGTGTTACTGTTTTTATAGTAGATTTTGAGACCCACATTATTCCGTTGTATTCTCCTCGTGGCGAAGCACGGGCAGAACAACTAGTAATCCAACATTTTGTTACAGAAATATTCCTACTTGAGCATCAGAGTAGATAACCCGCTAGTCATGGTTGTCAACGGGAAGAAATTGGGAAGAGATAAACTTGCTGGAACCCAGATGTCTACCAGTCCGATGACTCACTAGCGAAAATGTGACTTACTACTGCCACTGCCCTACCTGGCTCAAACTGTAGGATTGTTACGGTAATAGCTACTAACTATTAAAAAGACTGACTATTAACATTTTGCTTTAAAACTAATGTAGATGCAGAGACATTGTGTTATTTTGAATAATGTAGAGACTGTTAAGTTGGCTCATTTCTTCTTTAGAGAAGTATTTTCTTAGATCGTACTACAATAGTTTTTGTTTTTTGTTCTTAAAAATTTTACTTTACTTTGTAAAATGATTCTCAATGGCAAAAATACTCAACATAATTGATAGGGGTGCATTTAAGTATATAAATCATTAAAATTTGTTTACTCATCGCTTGTTTCATTGTTTTTCAGTATTATTTTTAGAAATATAAATGTAAGCATCTTTTGTACCAATATGAAACATTGTCATTTCTTGCAAAAAAATTCAAAGATCGGATATTTGATTTGGTTAAACATGTGAACTATGCAATTTTTAATCAAATGTTGATCCAAATCTTGATCATATTACTATCTATAAATATCTATGTATTGTTTTTTGTTCACATACTTTTAAGCACCAAAGCATCCTCAAATGACCATAAACGCACACTCTGGTAAGCTCTACAGCGAATAATTATTACTAATTTAATATTTTAAGTTATTACTGCACAGTATTAACATAAAACCAGTGTCATAGATATATTTAGCACTAATATGTTACCCTTCGTTAACATAACCTTGCTTTTTCCATCTGTTTGTAGAAAACACATGGGGGTGTTTATGAAAATGGTTTAATAGTAGTTAACGCAACGATCGCATAAAGACTATTTACCCGAGTTGTGTGCTACTTTACCTACGATCGTTTTTTAAATACTAACAATCACTACTCATAACTTCTAAGAGAGGTTATGTTTATGTTTATTACCTCTCATTGCCCACTGATAGTGATATAACGACTCATTAAATAGGTAATAGCTGATAAGTTGTAAAAGCATTACAATTTTACTTCTTTTCGCTCAATCCTTGAACCTCATTGGTCCATTACTAGTGCTGTAAAGTAAAAAAAATGTGGTTAAGTAAGTAAACAATGCAGTAAAGTGAATCTTTTATATTTTTAGAACTGAATTGAAAAAGCCAGTTTAAAAAATGGTCGTAGGTCAAATATTATCAATTTAGTAATTTGTTTAAAATATGTGCCTTTTAATAACCATAAATCTAAATACTTCTAAAGGTTTTTCTCAAGTGATTATATTTTGTGATTGTTTAAGACACGAGCTATAAATAACATCTGGAGATAGCAACTTTGTGAATAAAAAAATAACCAATGGTTTGAATACTGTCCTGATAATTATTGGTACCTAGCTTTTAAAAATGTCTAAAAAAATTGTTTAACTCAATATAAAAAAATAATATTTTTAAACAAAAAGAAGTCATATGTTTACAATGAATATACAGGGTGTCCCGGAACTCTCTACCAATATTTTAGGGCATTGCTCCTGGATAAGAAACATACCTAAATATCATATTTAAATTGTCCGGAAGTCCTTAGTTACTCACACAGCCGCCATTTTGTTTTTTCCAGTTATTAATTTTTTTCTAAAGAATGGTTAAACATACGGAATGGAAACTTTGCACAAACATTAATGACAACTAGACAAAGCTACAAAAAAATTATGAAGATTTTTCTAATTCATAAAACAAAATGGCGACCATTTAAAATGTTGTTTCTTAAATAGCTCAAAAACCGTTGATTTTATAAAAATTTTAAATGGCCGCCATTTTGTTTTATGAATTAGAAAAATCTTCATAATTTTTTTGTAGCTTTGTCTAGTTGTCATTAATGTTTGTGCAAAGTTTCCATTTCGTATGTTAAACCATTCTTTAGAAAAAAATGTATAACTGAAAAAAACAAAATGGCGGCTGTGTGAGTAACTAAGGACTTCCGGACAATTTAAATATGATATTTAGGTATGTTTCTTACCCAGGAGCAATGCCCTAAAATATTGGTAGAGAGTTCCGGGACACCCTGTGTAATATGAAAATTCAATGAGGCCTAATTAAACACAATTATTATTTCACTAGGCCAAATCAAAATCAAACGAATAACAGGCAATATATATAGCAACTAATAATGATCCCAAATTGACTAACTGTCGCTCAAAGTCTTCTGTACAGTGCTACTCCAGATGTAATTGTAGCTAAATGTGACAGGAATTTAGTTTATGTTTTAGTCCTAGATATAGTTTATTTTATAAATCAAAAGTTTGTAACAAAATTGTGATAAGAATTATTTCTTTAGTTTTATTAGTGATTGTTACTTAGAACTTAGTGTTAGGTTTTTGTTGTTTCTAATGAATTTTTTTTTTCCAATTAATTCAGAACTCAATTTTCACTTAGATTTTTGTAGTCTAAAAATTCAATTTATTTGTCGTCGTAACAGTCAAGACAGTCATTATGTTATAAATTAAATATATTAATATTTCCCTATATTAGATAAGATTTCAATTTATGCTTGTAAAAAGAAATGTGTAAAAAAACAATCTAACTATAGTTTTTAATACGATGGATTGGTTATATTAAATCATGATATCGAGGCGGAATTTGCACAGATTGATTTCAAAATAACTGCCAGTAAGCCTACATTTCACGAAATAGGCCTACATCTTGCTTTATTAAAGTGATTGATAAACCGGTAACTGTATAGTTTAACAATTATTTATTGGTTAATAGAATTATTAAATTTAAACTTTAAAACTTATAAAAAACTGGCGGCAATAAGAAAATTTATGTTCCATGTTATGATAAACCTTGTTTGAATGGAGTCAAGATCTTGTAGGTTTAGAGATAAGACTAAATTATAGTCAAGTAGTAGGAGTGGCTTAATCTTCAGTTAAAAAACAAACAAATACATTATCTCTCTATTTTGATAAACCTAAAAAAAATTAAAACTTTCTCTATTAACACTATACACCTAATACTTAACAGTTATTTGCTGTGCTTGTAATCTAGAAATTGAGGAGTTTAACTAAAACATTTTGTTTAGTTACAATTCCTACTTTTGTTTATTTTCTTACTTTCTACGCTTGTAGCATTTTCAAAGGAGGAGGAAACAGAGGTGAACAAATACGTTTTCGGAAAGCTGTCCTAACCCATATGTTTTGTGGTTGTGCGGAATCGAACACGTTCCTCTAGCACCTAAGTCCAAGATGCTAACACACCCAGTCTGGCGAGTATAATTTGCCACCCGCTCAAAAAAAGCAACCTATACTATAAAAAAATCAAAAATTAAAAAAGTTTATCTTTGCGGTGGAATGGTGAGGATAGGTCGCCGGGTGCCATTTTCCCGACTGCACGAATGGCAACCTATACTCGCCGAAAAAATGAAAAACAATTCGACCTCAAAGAGTTAAAGGAGACTAGCAGCATAACCTGGCTTTGCCAACACAACCATAACTAACCAACATTTTAATAATATGTTGACGGACAGACATTCAAACATAAAGAGAACTATATCAACACGCAAACCACTTATAACTTACCGGTACTCAATTAAGCAATTAGTTTTCTGAAAAAAATATTTCTCTAACATGAGTTCAAATTTCCACAGCATAAACTTATATTTACTACGAAACTAGATTATTCGTAAGTGGTTAGGATATATAGTTAAAAAATACACACCTCCTGAAAACGCAAATATTATGGTGAGAAAAAACTTCATCTAGTAACATTGTAAAGATATGTAATTCCGACAATCAGTATTTTTGTAAACAACTTATTATGTAACATTTACATTTAAGTGACAGTTTGAAACCAGCTGTTAGTTAAACAAAATTACATTGAAACAAACTTAAATGTTGTCAAACGCTAGAATCGGCTACTAGACTTTTTTAAATTAAAACTAAAAAGTGAATGAAAAAGAGTTTGATAGTGTAAATTATTTCTGGTAAAATCATATTTTCAAAAAAAACAAAAAATACCAATGAGTACTATGTGTATGGTTCTATCAGATTTGATATATTTAGTTGATGTCAGTAGTATTTATTTATTTTAGTTTGGTGCTTTCCAATTTTTATTTTAGGTCTTGTAAGTTTTCTATTGTGAAAACCTAAGTTTTTCTTAGATTAAGATAACATTCCATTGTGAGTTGATAGGTTAAAAGATAGTTTACTGTTATTATAAATTGTATCAAATGTTGTTGTACAGGATGGATTTATAAGTGCTGATATTTTTGTCATGTAATGACGCAGAAAACCTACCCCGGTTTCAACCAAACCTGGATACTCAGAAAAAATTAAATCTTTTACTAATATACTGATAGTAAGTGGATCATTTTATCCTAAAGTTTCCATTGTTTAATAATCATCTTTATCATTGAAATATTTACTACTCTACTCTCATTATTGTAATTAGTGGTTACAATTTCATATTTTATTTGTTTCATTAAATATAAAACTTTACCAAAAAGACTATACCAAATGACATTTAGGGTCGAAGGTTGTAGCAAAATACCTATGTCCAAGACATTTTTTTCAAAACCAATAACGTAAAAAGATGTTAGTTTGTAACGTGGCTATATTGAGGGGGGGGGGGGGGGGTCAAACTAGCCTATTTATCTGTCTAGCCTATCCCTAGGCATAGCCTACAATTCCTAACTAAGGTTATAGGTTAGAGGGCTAACCTTAGTTATAACCTCTCTAGTTATTATAGGCATGATACACCGTTGTGTTTGGTAATAAATAAGTGCAGAACGAGAGTTATTAATTCTGTATTAGCGTGTATAAACCTTATACAGAGTTTTATAGCTTATTGACTCACCAGCGATGTGTTTTGCAAGCTAGGGCTCAACCCGGCTTAGTACTTCGACGACCCTTTCTATACTTAGTAAACCCGCAGATCGCGGCTTAGGTCAATAATCCGTTTCAAAGGCGTGAGGAAATGCGGTGTGAGTAATGTAAACCGCCAACTTGAAGTTAAAACTCATTGTCATGTGAAACAAACACAACATAACCTACAGTCAACACAACAACAACAAGTTTGAGTGTCTATTTGGTGGCTGCAGACGAAAGCCGCCGGCTAGCTTTTTTCGGGTTAGCAAACAGCAGACGTCCAGGATCAGCTGAGCCCCCTACTTTGCTAGAGAGAGGAGCGAGAGGGATGATCCGAGGAACCTTCAGGTGACAGGAAGACAGGAGTCCCTGTAACAAGCAGAACACCCATATGACACAATGGGAACGACAGGTGTCCCCGCAAAGAGCAGGATACCCATACAACGACATTGACAGGGGTCCGTGCGATGAGCCGGATTCCCAGGTGCTGAACAAGAAAACGATTTCGGGGGTGGCGACTAGTGTCCATGGAAGGCCACCACGTCCCACTGCGGTGGAAGGGGCAGTGAGCGGTCCGTGAGGATTATTCCGGACTACGGTGACATCTGTGTGATAAACCAGATGATCGAGATCTCCGACTCGGTAAACCTCATCCAAGGCGACGGCACGGCTGAGTGTGAGAGTAACATCTTGACGCGAACCCTGGAAGGCCAACCCAAATCTCCGTACTGAGGCCTATCCGGAAACTAAATGTGCTGTATAACACGTGGTACTTGAACCTGGCATGTAAACTAGTGATGTATGTTTCAATGTGAAAAAGTACGTCACAAGATTGAATTGACACATTCACTACGGGATTTCACAAAAGTCTTCATACAGAGGAGTGTGACAGCTGGTATTTTCTCCCTAAGAATAACATGGGAACTTTGAAGGCCACTGGGACAGAGCCCTGATGGAATTCTAAAGTTTTTTTTGTTTTATGGCAAAACTACATGCTAAGACCTTTCTAGCGACACCTTGAACATGGTGATCGGTAGCACCACCGCTCCAAAACAATTATGACAAAAATATGCCTAGCGTATTAAATATATAGATAAATGGACACTAGAGTTACAAAACCAAACTTTCACTTACAGCTTTTAATGTGAGTACAACTCAAGAAAAACATAATTTCATAACATTTCCCCTCTCATTTTCTAAAAATATCCAAATTACTCTTCTAACAAGTTTTTAGTAGACATACACCAAGTTTGGACAGATAATGTTGCATCAGAGATACATCTATCCCTTCAACTTGCACCAGAGCCATCAGTGGCGGTTTAAAGGGGCAGGCTACAGGAGCTAAAGCCCCCCTCCATTGTACCCTGGAAGAATATATCCAAACATACATTTTGTCCTAAAAAAGTAACGGAGGTTTTTGGATACAGTTCTAGACGTTAAAAAATGCTTAAGAAAGTCACCTGCTTTAAAAAAAAAAAAAAAAAAATCCAGGAGAGGACCCCTGAAACCCCCTCTTCCTTGGGGGGTGTTAGACATCGGCTCCCCCCTTGACAAGGTCCTAGAACCGCCATTGCAAGCCATTTACCTTTTATCTCAGATGATAGACCTCTTCCATTAACTCTAACACAGACAGGATAACTCCTCAGGAGCTGCACATTATCTGAACAAGGATTTGAGCTATTGATCATGATATACTTACACAAGTATATAACCACTGGGCAAAGTCTAGGTCAGTACTTAGTAGAGCTGTTGCCTGAACGGGTAGACATCACTGATGATTGTTAGGTAATATAGCACACTAACGTAAACCCAATTCCTTAACGTGGTTCTAAGCTTATCTCCCAGGTTAACATTTCAGGTGTAATTTACAGCAGTTGTTGATGAGTTAGGTTTGAGTAAATAGTTGTAAGTGTAAATAGTTACTTTTTGGTTGTATTATTCATGATAACCTATGTACCTACCATAGAGACTTAAAGGGTCAAAGCTTGGTGATTGTTAGCGTGTTTTAGACACCTTTCCTTCAGGTGTGTAGCTCCTACAAACCTTGCTACGATCCTACAAATAATCATTTTACTGGTGGCTGTAAATATTTCAGTATTGGTAGTAGTGCCAAGGAAGCTTTTCTGGAACGTCTTAATCCCTCCATTTACATCTCAACCAAAAATGGGTGTAAATAAATTGATGACATTAAAAAATAGTTTATTAAATCAGCTAAACATTAGCCAATAATTTATTTACACATCTGTACACTCTCTTAAAATAGACAATAATGATTGTCAAAATATTAAACTAAATCTTACAGTAAAAGGAATAAATAACCTCTCAATGTACACTAAAACAGTCATCCTTAAGTAGAAAGCTAAATCATCACCGGCTATCTCATATTGACCTCCCATAATTTGAGGTTGTTGTCAATCACTTCCTCAAACCACTGTCTTTTCTGGGCATCCTTAAAAACAGGCGCTAACGTCCTCAAGTCTATCTGGAGTAGAGCTTCGTTTCTTAACAGTTTGTCCAAGTCTTTGAGCAAGTCTGAGCTATCAGGGTGGTGTAGTTTGATAAGGCTGGAGAAGACGAAGAAGTAGAACTGAGTACGGAGGTTGTTTGTAGCCCAGGACTCGAGGGTGGAGTTGCCACTAGCTGCTAGGATACGACCCATGTGCTCTGCGTACCACGGGGAGAAGTAGCTGTTGATCTCCTCAGAGGACAGTTGAGCTACCCCTCGCACCTTCATCACCTCCTTGATGCGAGTGTAGATGGCTGGACTGTACACAAACACCTACAACATACAGTACGATGAGCATCAGACTAAGAGAAGTAGCTGTTGATCTCCTCAGAGGACAGTTAAGCTACCCCTCGGCACCTTCATCATCTCTTTGATGCGAGTGTAGATGGCTGGACTGTACACAAACACCTACAACATACAGTGCGATGAGCATCAGACTAAGAAAAGTAGCTGTTGATCTCCTCAGAGGACAGTTTAGCAACCCCTCGCATCTTCATCACCTCTTTGATGCGAGTGTAGATGGCTGGACTGTACACAAACACCTACAACATACAGTGAGATGAGCATCAGACTAAGAAAAGTAGCTGTTGATCTCCTCAGAGGACAGTTGAGCTACACCTCACACCTTCATCACCTTGTTGCAAGTGTAGATGGTTGGACTGTACACAAACACCTACAACATACAGTACGATGAGCATCAGACTAAGAGAAGTAGCTGTTGATCTCCTCAGAGGACAGTTGAGCTACACCTCACACCTTCATCACCTTGTTGCAAGTGTAGATGGCTGGACTGTAGACAAACACCTACAACATACAGTGCGATGAGCATCAGACTAAGAGAAGTAGCTGTTGATCTCTGCAACATACAGTGTTCCAAGGAAATAAAAACATGCAAAGGCAAGGGTCATTATGCTTGATAGCATACTCCTGTGACTTTGTTCAGTTTTCCAGGATAAGAGTCTTTACCTCCACACAACATTCTGCAAGCCAAACTTAAGAGAACATTTTACTGTTCATGTCTGTTACTCAGTACAGTAAAATCTGTATTGTGGATTATAACAAACACATTGATTCAAAACCCAAGCTTAATCCATTCATCTCCTAATGTTAGGGAAGGTCCATCATTATCAACCAGGAGCCATAAGGAAATGTTTTTTATTCTTCATCTATCTTTTTCAAGGCTGTTTATGTTGTAAAATGTATGCCATATTTTATCGTTTACTCTTTGCCTTGAAATACCTATTTAAATCAAAATTAGTAAGATTTTCGTATATCTTATAATATATAATAAATGTAATATAAACCAGCCTACAGTATACTCTCAGGGGAGTTTATGAAATGAAAGCAAGTTTGATTTCATAATTTTTATTTCATTTTAAATTTTGAAGCCTGATTAATTTTACTGCTAAAAATATTGTATTCACATTTTAATTCCAACGGCAGGCTAAAGTTATTTAGCATGCAGCCTCGCAGTGCAATTACCGTCAACTAGTTTGAATAAACAACTCTGTTGAGTCAGCAACACAGTATATTCCCACTGCTAACGCAATACAACAGCGCGAACAATGTAAGAGTATTACTACTAGCATAATTAAAACTGTGGATAACTATATTCAAAGATCATAAATCACGAGAGCGGAATTCAAATCACCAGAGGTCTATCTCATTCCACAACTGCTTCACGAGACAATGGATCCAAACCGTCACACGTGCGCGTGTGAAGAATGTCATGAATTTATTCCGAGGTAAACAGAAGTAGGTCATAGTAAACCTACTCGACAACTTGCATCCTTGACTTGTCAGTGAAACCGGAGTGATTACTTCACTGTTACGCAACACAGAGTATAAACGGTCTCGCTGATATAGCGGCCAATGTATATACTGTACTACTTGAGTCACCAGAGTCTGCCATTGGACCTGCAGGGCGTGGCGGGGTTGTTTTGACCACGAGGGAATTCCAATTACGCTTTGTGCTAAGCTTAACTTCCAGTTTGAAAGATCAAGTGCTGTTAATTATGTGGTCATGGATCTCGATGCTTGAGATCCTTGGCCAACCAGCTTTGACTAGAGGTACATTACCGTGAAATTCAGATGTTGGAGTTGTAGCATAGCATCATAGCATGAATCAAACAAACTCTTCTATAAATCTGTCGTCCTTTAGAAGAATCAGCTGAATAAAAGTTTAAATAGTGTACCCCTAACCCAAAAAATTCTGACATCAATATACTCTACGAAACCAAGCATACAACGCGCATCGAAAACCAACTGAGATTGTATAATAGAATGAGTACTTGCAGTTTAAATCGTAATTGGCATCAGCCAACTTAAGGACGGTACAACTAGCTGTATTGAGCTACCCAGCCGCAGACAAAGTAGAAATTGTGCTGATATAAAATACAGTTTTTTCGTAAATGCCTTATTTTCAACCATACAGATCGAAACGGAGGTGGTAACTCATAAACGATAGATTTATACGTGGCCATTAACTGCACTCAGATTAGTAGGCCTATGAATCACTATAAGAACAATAGCTGCTACCGTACTCAATGAGAGGATCTTTCAACTATATGTATAAAAAAACTTGATACAGCCGATTCATATAGATGGGATGTCAACTTCAGTACCGTACCTATTGAATAGAACATGGACCATCTCGATGAAAAAAAGCTATGGGATTGAATCCAATCCATAATTTTTAAGTCAGCCTTGCCAGACTAAATTCATTTGTAGACGATTTTTTCTTACAATTTCCATGGATTTGATCTGACCTATACAGGGTGATTTGTACTCAGTGTGACAAAATTTTTTTGGTGTAAGTACAAAGTAAATGAAGTGTGATGATGCATATCAAATGTTCCAAGTCTAAAAATTAGCTTCCCAAAAAATTATTTTATGTTTTTCAAAAATAACCATGCTTTTAAACTTAATACAGCGATTCCTCAATTACCTGTATATGGATTTGAGTAGATAATGTCATTTTCGTGTTCTACATTAAATTTTGAACAAGAATAATGGAAAATGACGGAGGATCAGTTGTAAAAACTCCATTTTAAATAGATTCAAAGATAAAAATTAAGATATTTGATAAAATTTTTAAAAACATTGGTCTATTGCATTTTTCACACCCTGTATACAAGAAAGTGTCCGAATATGTTAAAAACTACGCCATTTTATAAGCTTTCCAACTATATGCTACACTATTGAGGTTTAGATATTTTTTTGTTTGTTTTAGTGGTTTGAATACCAGAAAACAGGGAACTTTTTTACTGTTTTTACTGTTCAAGCTGAATCAAAAATACAACTTTTGCTTAATACATGCCGACTTTCTATGTTTTAAATGTTAAAGACACCATGCTTTGTAGTCTTCAAACCATTAAAGCGTACATAAGCAGACATAAACCTCAATAGTGTAGCATATCGTTGGAAAGCTTATAAAATGGCGCAGTTTTTAACATATTCCGACACTTTCTTGTATACAGGGTGTGAAAAATGCAATAGACCATTGTTTTTAAAATTTTTATCAAATATCTTAATTTTTATCTTTAGTTTTTACAACTGATCCTCCGTCATTTTCCATTATTCTTGTTCAAAATTTAATGTAGAACACGAAAATGACATTATCTACTCAAATCCATTTACAGGTAATTGAGAAATCGCTGTATTAAGTTTAAAAACATGGTTATTTTTGAAAAACATAAAATAATTTTTTGGGAAGCTAATTTTTAGACTTGGAACATTTGATATGCATCATCACACTTCATTTACTTTGTACTTACACCAAAAACATTTTGTCACACTGAGTACAAATCACCCTGTATAGTTTAAGTTGGAAAAAAAACTATGATTTCTACACCAGCCACAAAAGCTTCCAAACGGATCCTTTGAGGAATACTTGATGAGAATTTTCCGAGTAAAAACCCATCGACAATTTTCTATAGTTTACACGGTCTTCGCTATGATAATTTTGCTGGCATGCCCAGTGGCACAGTTTAGCAAGGCGGACACCGCTTGTGCTGAAGTCACCGTGAAAGTGCAAGTTTTAACTGATCATAACCGGTTACGCAAACGTGTTACATGGCTCTGGCGTTGATTATGCAGTATTGATCATGCTCACGGTGTATACTGTATAAAGTTGAGGCAATAAATACTTCTGATAACGGTATATTTACTCACCGGGGCCTAAATTGACACAAGCTCTAGGATAACGTTTGGCACGAAAACTACATTTTCTGAAAAAAAACTGTCACACTTCAACCATTCTTCGTGTTTTGGTACATCAACTGTTTATTACTCGTAATAAGGTTGGTCATCGTAATAAGGAATTTAACTTCCAATTACTTAAAATATTTAACTATTCCAATTAGATTAAATGTCTATAAAAGAGTTCACGTTGTGATAAAATATGCAAGTAAGTAACATATTAATAATAAGGCCAAGCAGGCCTAACATATTAATAATGTTCACAAATCTATTCAAATATGACAGTAAACTTGGTTGTGGTTAATGCACGTATTTTAGAATGGGAAGATTAATATCCGATGCTTTATCATTATTTTTATTACTATACCCCGTTCACAAAATTTAGGCGGTTTTAGGGGAATAAATTTACCCTCCATGTCTTGACCCTGTCATTAAAACCGCTCAACAGCTGAGATAATTGTCAAAACGTCAATCAGCTGCAAAATATAAGCAGACAAGTGGTAGATGTACTTTCCCTCAAACCGCCTAAATACTTTAAACGGAGTATTGAAGATTCTTTTTACCCTAAGGATGAGAATAACTTTGGCTATGAAAAGCAGCTGTCTGATGCAACGTAACTAAAATAAGTTCAACAGTTAATTGATTAAAATAATACTTTACAAATAAAGGTTTCTTGGAATCGAACATAACCTAATTCATGAACTGTGTCAATATATCAACGTCATGGAATTAGTTTACAATGACGTTATCGTGAACGTCATGATTATTGGACAGCTTTTTAATATTATACAAATTGGCTAGAAACTATGCATAAGTTGTATAAAACTTTATGGACACGTCGTGCTCTGTTTTATAGCAGAGTCCTTCCTGAAGTTGTTACTGAAATTAAGTTATGTTAATCTCTATCTAAATATCTAAACCAATTAAAGAAATTATGAATTTAACTGCGTTTTCTTTCATAAGAGCGTGTTAAATTACTAGGTATACATTTAGTGTCCAGCTATATTTTTTATTTTTTCAAGATTAGTTTAAGGTCAACTATTTTTAAGAGAGAAAAAAAACACTTGTTTTAT